GGGCTTTTGGCTGCAGCTTGAGCTGACTGCACCCAGGGGCTCTGCCACACAAGTCCCAGCAGATCGCACTGGGGGGCCCCAGCTGTTGACAAGAGCAAGCCACCAGGTGCTGGTGACCGGTGACCAGCCTTGCAGGTAGTCACTAGCCCTGCAGCACGGAACGCATCCCAGTGCTCCCAGCTCTTAATTTGCAGGTTTGCTGGTGTTTATGGGCTGCCGGGGAGACAGGTGCTGTGGCTATGCTGTGGCACTGGCACAGAGGCACGGTTGCTTTTGCTGTTCTGTGCTAGAGGTGGTGACCCTTGTGCAGGGGCGGGACAGGCAGTGACATTTTAACAGCTGAGCTTGCTTGCGTCTGTACTCGAGAGTCAGGGCACTGACCTGGGGAATGTCTCCTTTTCATATCGATCCGGGGGCTTTGACGTAGAGCAAACTTGCCTGGATAACAGATGGGACATCCCAACGTGCTGACCTGCCAGAGGTGCCACCTGCTGTCATCACCTTGCAACAGAAGGCCACTGCTTTTATGCTTAACATTTTTTTTCTCTTTTTTAGGCCTCATCTGCAATAGAGATGTTCAGAGAGGCCCCAGAAGACATGACAGACATTCCTGCTCGTTGTCACAGGAACACGACTTGACAAGAGGTGTGATAAGTGCTGTGGAAATGCACCATCTTTGGGCACCTGAGCTTTAACTGAGTAGGATCCTCTGTCCTAGAGGGGAGGAGGGATATTCTGATCACTCACAGGGATAAAGCTAAGCTGCTTTACAACATAGGCTGACAGAAAGCGGCTATTAAAAAAAAAAAAAGTCTATTAAAAGGTCAGGTGTGGACTTGCATTCTGAACTGACAGTTGCACAAGCTGGTAAACGATACATAACAAATATCTAATTAGGTTAATCTTGTCTCTCTGGGGTCGCTCTGAACAGCCCATTAGAAAATAAGAGTTTTCTCCAAGGATGCCAAACTGCTGGTTGTTTTTATTTCTGCAAGTAATATTGAATCTGTAACTTGTTTGAGAGCAGCTCATTGCAATACTTGGAGGTCAAAAGTGGAGCATTAACTGGATAGATAGCTGCTTAGTGTGCTTCTGTCCCCTAATTGTAGAACCTGGTTTCTCACATGCAAAGGGCAGAGGAACAACCATAAGTCCAGTTTCACTACTCCAAACCATTCAGAAATTGTGATATCTTGGCACTGTGTGTTCTTTCTGATGCTCATGTCTCTAGACTTTGCATTTTTATGTATTTATGTATTTATTACAGTTGTTAGAGCTATAAACAGTTCTTTTGTGTTAAGGAAAGATGGTATTCCCACTTACACCCCAGATCCCAGAACCAGGGAGAAAATGAAATACCTGAAAGCACTAAGCCGCTTTCATAATGTTCTTTCCTAATAAAACAGGATTTGCTCCCAGTAAGATATCAGTGCTCCTGCTGGAAGTGCAGAGTGCTTGCTGAAAAGCACCATGAGAAGTACCAACTGGGCTTGCTTAAAAATTCAGATAGGTATTTACGGACTTAGAACGGTTTCCCCAGTAGTAACACAGCTCCAGTTTGTAACTGCTGGTAGCTGTCGCAGAAGTTTTCTGTTTCACAGCTGTGTGTACCAGAGGCAACAGGGGTACGTTCAAGAGAGCTTTGATGCAGGATGTTCAAAAGCACCATTTCTATTCCCTCTCCACAGCCTGGCCTGCAGAAACCTTCTCTGACCTCTTCCAGGTAGGAAACAGTTCCACATAGGCTTCAGTGCTCTTCTTCATAAGATTCTCCCATGTCCTCCCCGCATGCATCTTGCCAAACAGACAGCTGAAATGTTAGCAGCGAGGCTTTGTACTGTGGATGGATTTGGATTATTAATAAGGTGGTCAGGGAGAACGGGACTATTTCATGTCTTGTCAAAGCAGCGCAAGTAGGATGCTGCTTTTATGAGACTTGCCACTGCCCCTCTCTCCTCTCAATCATCTCTTTCATGTGCCTGAGCAGGACTGAGGTGATAGGCTGCTTCCTAAAGAGCTGTAACAGCGTGTGAGACAGCTTGGGATGCAGTTTACAAACAGCAGAGAGAAAGCTCAGAGATAGAATGGAAAAGAACAAAAAAATAAGAGCTGATTGCAATGATTGAAGTTGAATTTTCCCTGCCTTCCAAGTGGGCATTCCAGTATGAGTACGTTAAATTCACGTATTACTCAACTGCCAGGGCTATTTAGCAATAAAGACCTCTGGCACTGAAAGGGACTCAAAACAAATCTTTGCAGCCAGCAATAAAACGCAAGGAGTGTCATGCTGAAGATCACTGGGTCGTATAGCTTGTTAAGGCAAGAGGCTGGAGGCTTATTTGTGCAATTGCTGCAAGTGATGTTGTCCTATGACACACTCACTGTCATAGATAACTGCCTTGGAGATTAAAAAAAAATTAAATATAGTCGTACAAATGCAGTTCTGTAGCCACAGTAAATTAAATTGTGCACAAACACACACACAGAGAACATTAGGGCTTTTTGAAACTTGATCCAGGCTGCATTTGGAATTGGTTTTATAGCTGTTGATTGTTCTCTCTGGAAAAAAATAACTGCAAGCGACGCTTGTTGTGCGTCCTGGAAAATGAGAAAAAAAGGCTCAGAGCCAATGCGTGCAGCAGCATCTTGTCGGAGAGTCCCCAGCTTCCAGGCCAGGACAAAGGAGGAAGGGGTTTTGCATTCTCTCATGTAAAAAGAAGAGGCCTGACTCCACAGCTTTCTAGAGATTTGAATAATGAGACAGTTCTGGCTGACGATTACATTAAGGTTTGACTTCTGCGGTGCTTTGCATTGCATCCACGGCATGCAAAGTGCCTCCCTGCCAGCAAGGAGAGGCTTCTGGCTCCTGCAACCAGGTGCCCCAGTCCCGCAAGGATACCATCACAGGGTTTTCTGCCTGTACGTGGATAGCTCTTCCTCACTGATGTTATGTCTGCGGAGTGAAGCATGTGGTTAACTGTTTGTAGAAGCTGGGCCTTGTGCTGTTTAAGGGCTATGAATTTTAAGAGGGTTCTTTCTTCTGAGGATTTTGCAGGCAGACATGAGTTTGCCCTCCCCATGCTCCAAGGAAGACCTCAGTCACACAGACTCAGGGTACCCAAACTGGCTGCAGGCAAGAAAACAGTCTGTGAAGCCCTCTGCCATGTGAGAGCACTATATTGTAGTTACCTTACTACCAAGTGAAGGCAAAAGCCCCCGAATTCCCTACAGTTCAGCAGACTGAGCATCCTTAGCTTTCAGCAGCCCCAGCTATGTGTGCCTCTAGAAGCAGAGGGAATTACAGGAACACTTCAATATTCAAGGAGAGGTGCTGCTGAAACTGCTCAGTGCCCTCACCAGAGTGTGAGCAGGAATTAAGCCACTTTCTCACATGCATGAGATTTATTTTTTTCTTGGTCAAAATCCATCTCCCTTCCTTCCTAAAAGCATTATTTAGCCAGTGTTTGATAAGGACTTTTTAATTAATATTTTCAACAGCTTTTCCATGAAATTTAAGGTACGTTACTATCAAAAACATCCGTCTGGACTACTTCCAAGATGCTGAAAGCATCCTAGCCGTTTGGCCCACTTCTAATGCTCAAGGTGGCATTAGTACATAGGACTGAGTGAGTCTCTGTAAATACCAGTGGGGTAGGAACACAGTGTTTTACATTAATGGAGGCCCAAGGCTCTTGTCTGGCTCAAAATGATGAGTTCTTGGCAACCTTAGTGCCCGAAGCAATGTGAAAATAGTAAAGCAGCACAGAATTGCTTACAATATTTTATTCCACTGCTAGCCTTTTTCCTAAGTCTCTTCATGTAAATGCAGGAGACAAAGTGTTGGTCCTAGCTGCAGGAAAGACACAGCAGCTGGAGTTGTCATGCAAACCAGTGTCTAGAAGTCACAGACTCCCCAATATTCCTGTTCCTGTGCTGGGAGGAGAAACATTTCCTACGGGAGATGGTTGAGCTGCTGGTTGTTGGCTTCTGCTATTAAATGTTAGATTATTTACGCGCTCTAGGTTTCTTCACACACGTTAAACAGCCTGTGCTGGTGAGAAGGTTAATGCCTTGCTATGTTGTCCGACTGCCACCGGATGTTATCTCCACATTTGTGCTCTAGTTTAACTTCTAGGAAGAAATTATATTCCAGATAAATATCACAGTCACATTTTCCCTCGGAAGTCCTTACTGCCATCCTTGAGTTACCAGAATGGCACAAAGTTAGGCTTGCTCAGCCATTTCTGGTGAGATGTATGTGTGTTGTAGTCTGTCTTGAAACTAGTTTTGGAAAAGAAGGCATCGGAGAGCTCCTTTACAGGGCTTACTCAGAGTAGTGTCTGCAGCGAGCGTGCTCTTTCGTGGTATTTTTCCTCAAGCAGACATCTGGTCCTACTTCTGTCTTCTTGGAGGCAATGAATGTTGTTTCCAGTGCATCATCAAATGTCTCGTTATTAAATAATTACAGAATGGTTTTTCTAAGCATTTGGACTGTGAAGAGCTCTGATTATTATTAATGCTACTACCTTCTGGCAACGGAGAGGACGACAGCAATCCTCCCTTGATGTTTGTTGAAACAAGCTGAAGAAAAAGGGCAGACCTTTGGACTCTAAATAATAATACTATCCATAAATAATAAGGCTCTTCAGGGCCCTTTCTAGGCAGACTGTAACTTCCTGCCAAAAGGTATTCATCGTTATGCACAGGCACGGTGTCTGCCCTGTGCTGCTCTCTCACCACTGGTCCTGCTGCATTTCAAGGCTGTGCATTTCCTACAGAACATTCTTCTGATTGTGGTAATTACAGTGGCAGCCAAAAAGACATACGCCCGCTGGGGTTTTCTTCATCAGTTCAAAGATTTTACAGTCAGAAATTTTGTCTGGGCAAGAAATAAAAAAAAGCAAGAAGCAACAAACGAGGTCATTTGTGTGGGATTTCCAGATGTGCGTGGCCCAGTTCTGCAACCTGGTAGCTGCAAAACCCAGCACATCGCGTGGACATTGGATTTGGACGGAGGAGCCCCAAATACAGTGACCAGACAGCCTTGCTAGCAGCCAGGGGGCTCTGCTGGGTGTGCAGAGATGCTGAGCTGATGGCTGTAGCCAGCTTGCTTTCCAGCCTTGCAGCATGCACACAGTAGGACCAGTACAGCCAGGACCTGTCTGACCTGCTGACCGGGTCCAGCCTGGTAAATCACCCCATTCCCACCACACACAGCCTGTTTTGGAGGTGCTGGGCTAACTGTGGCTATCCAGAGGATGCTGGGCTTGCTGAGCCCTTAGTGCAAGATTGTCCAACCACACTGGAGTTTAACACCTCCTCTTTTTCTGTTTCATGCATAAGGAAGTTTCCCTGTGATGGCAGAATCACGACACCTACACTTCCCTTTGTCTTTCTGCCATTTTTTTTCCAAAAAATAAAACTGCAGCCTGTGGTTAGATAAGTCCAGCAGTGGCCAGTGTCTGAGGCATAAGCTATCAGGGAGTCTTGCCCATTTGGGCAGCCAGGGGTGGGTCTATCAGAGCTGAAGAGCTGCACGTGTAACGAGAGCAACTCCCAACATAAGGGAACATCACACAGCCCCCGGAGAGGGCGTGCTGGTGGCAGGCTGCTGGCTAATTGCAAATTCGAGGTCTCCAGCTGAGGCCCCGCATCTTACGGCACCTCCCAAGGATCCAGTGTGTTCCCCAGCACGTGTGTCACACCTGCTCCCCTGGCTGCGTGCCTGGTAGTGCTCAGGCATACGTAGGTTTTGAAATGAGGGTCATAAATTCAGAGCATGCCTTATCATAAGCCCTTCTGTGCACTGTGCTGCCTTCAGCTCAGTGAATCAGACCACAGGCCTTCATGAAGGGCCACACTTTCTCTCGGAAAAGATGCTGGGCTGCTAGTCATTAGGGAAAGGAAGGGGTGAGCACTCTGTTCTGGGCTGATTACGAAGCCTTGGGATGAGCCACGCTCCTTCAGCCATTCCGTGCAGATTGCCCGTTTCCATCACGTGAGTCAGGATCAAGCCCACTTTGACAGAGCATCTCTCAGTGACCTGAAGAGGGAAAAGGGTCATTTAACCTTTGCTTTGCTAGGGCTTAAGGAGCTGTCAAGCCCACAGTCAGAAGGGGAGCGAGCCCTTCACTGCCTCTCTCTGTGCTCCTCCACCACTGCAGTGCTCGTGTGAGATTATTTCAACACATACTTTTCTTCTACAGCAAGCAAGTTCCCAGCTACAGGAGGCTGACAGCCCTTGTGTAACTCGTTGTTACTCATCAGCACTCCTCGTACTCGTTTGGATCTCAGGGTGTGGTCTTAATTAGCTATTTTGTAATAACACCCAGGTGACTTGGGGAGGGATTGACACCCTAGAAACCTATTCAGTAGGAGCACGGTGACTCCCTGTCCTTGGAATACTCTTCCAAATTGTTGTTTGCTTCTAGAAATTGAGTCTATGGGGTAGTTTGTCCAGCCATCCCCATAACTTCTATAATTGTTGGTTGAATTCAGCCAGGTTATGCTGAACAATAAATCCTACAGAAATGATTCCATAGAGATGTGCAACCAGGTAGAAGAGTAAGAATAGCTTAAATGCCTTCACTGGTAACCCTATGCTTGTTTATGAAACAAAAAATCCATGTGGAAAGAAGGACGTGTGAGTACCCAAGTCATAGGGGAAAAATAGTACTTGCAACTCGGATACTAGATCTGAGCAAACTGAACTGTGGGTAGGTGTTTTGTTACCCCATGAGAAACCTAGTGTGTGTTTTTATGCTTCTACTTTTAAGACTTCTTATCTCAGCCTCTTAGTGATGTCTCCCAGTTTGCTGGTCTTCTGTGGCCTTCATCGTGTGGCAGCCAAGTCTCAGGGTTTTGCCGAAGCTGCCTGGGGCTTTGAAGTGGTCTGCCAGGAAGGTATGTGCTCGGCCAAGGCCTTGGGAGTGTTTTATATCAGGTGCAGGCAGACTTGTATAACCAAAGACTATATTGTTTGGAGCTAAACAAAGCTTTGCCTTGGTTGTCTTTGTAATATGGAGCAGGTTTTTAGTCTTGTTGGTTGACTTTTGAATAGTTCAATAAATCAAGTGCTAACCTCTGTACAAATTCAACTTCTGCTTTATTTCTGTTTTGGTGAGAATTCATCACAGTTATTTTTCAGGGGCGTCCTTGGATCGGAGATAATAAGCTCTTCTCTAACCTTATGCAGCCTAAGCCATCAAATACTTTGTTAAGAATGCCTCACCTTGTGCTCAGCGAGTTAGGGAGCTCTTTGGTCAGCTGCATTCATCTACACTTGACCCAGATGCATATTTAGGTCCTTCAGCCCACTGTTCGAGGCTCTGAAAGGCTCTCTGTCTCTTTGTAAGCATACTTGGTAGTTGCTCCCACTTAAGTGTTAGAGAAGCAGGAAAAAACCTTTAAGTACTAGTAATCACTGCTCTATTGATACTGGCACCACTGTCTGGGTTGCATTATCTGTCAGGAAATACACTCAGGGTGCCTTTTCTTTCCACTGTTTTAAGTCTGTGAAGCCAGTCCTGCATTTATTATGGAACAAAGAGAAAACCTTTTCTTAGTACATGATTGAGGGTTCATCTTCCCATCGTGTGCAGATGACTACAGTTAATTTTTAACTTCATACAATTTGCATCTCTCAGAAACTGTCTGTTTCCATTGCATACAGAACAGCACACCGATGGTACGGCTGTTGTCTTAAACACATCTTGTCTCTGCTGCTTCCTTATCCTTGCAGTCCGTCTTTAGGCCTTTTAATTTGGAAGCTGCTACTTTTTTTGCATCTGTGCTGATGCTTTCATTTAGGAAGCACGGCTGTCCCCAGCCTTAGAAATACCCCCTGTGCTTTGCCAAGTCAAATCCATTTTTCACAGTGACCTTGCTTTGGCCTTGTTATCCGCCTTACCATGAATAGTGTGGTCTCTAATCAGTCCATCTGTCAGCTGTCCAGGTCCATGTGACAGGACACGAGCGTTGCCACACAAATTGGAGCAAGCTGAATGCACGAGAAATGAGAAAAGTCAGAGGATTTGGATGCTGGTAGCTGCCTCATGCCTTGTTGCAAGCCTTGGCATTGGGTCTGGTCTGAACATTGTTCATAAGCCGGAGGAAGGGTTAAAGGGCATAATAATGATACTCACAGTGATATCATCTGCTTGCTTTTACAGCCAATGTCACAGGAGTTTGTAACTAGTGGGAAAGGGGCAGCGTGAGCAGCCTGGTGAGATAGATGCGTGTGGGAGCCTCACAAGCGAAGGCCTCAGCTGCCTGGGTGTGGTGAGAGGTGATTCATGGGCCTGCAGCCTTGCTAGGACCAGATGAAGGTGTCCTTGTGAGCCAATGTGCAGGGAAAAGGACTGGCTGGTAACACTGCCTTCCCTGCTGAACGGAGGCTTTAAGGCCAGAAATTGCATTTCCTTACCCTTCCATAGCCTTCTTCCCACTAAGGCTGTTGTCATAAGAGGGGAAAAAAACAAACAAACAAAAACCACCTTTTTCTTCTGAAAATGCTATCCCCAAACATTTGTACTGTGGGATGCTTCTAATTCACTTGCAGAAAACTCAGATGTGTTGATTTTGGTGCTTGACTGCTCTAATTTCTGATTTTGGATTATCCCAAAACTCACACTTGATATGAGGGCTTACTCCTGGGAACAGAGCTGCTCTGTAGGAAGTTAATACCTAAGGAATCAAAAATCAGCAGGGCAGTTCTCCTTGAGCTACGTGGAATGGGCTCTGTGTGTCATCCTTGTACTTCCAAGCTCGTTGATGACTGGATCACTGGAGAAAAAACTGCTTCCAGGAGGAGCTTTTTTCAAACACATTAAAAATGAGAGGAAAAAAAAAAAAAGCTGCGAAATTGTGGAAATGTCTTCGTTGGTGGTGAAGTCGTAGCGTGGTGCTGCCATGTCCCCTGCAGCTCCCGTAGTGGCCAAAAGTATTGCTGCCCTACACTTCCAGGCTCCTGCCGTGCCTTAGGAAGGAATTTGGAGTGTCCCAGGAGTATTAGCTTACCCAAACCACGAGGAAAGCCCGGCTGCTGCAGTTTGGTAACTAAAGGCACTTCAGACTCTGCAAGAGGAAAGTAGGAGAGTCCTTCCTCTGCAGTGAGTCACGGCGTTGCCCCATTGCTCCCCTTGCAGATCTCCTTCAGTTCCTTGTGCTTTGCCTGTGTTTTTTGGGCACGGCAGTGGATCTGGTTATGCTGCTTCACTCCCTGCTGGTGAGCTCTCTCCTCCTCCAGGTCCCTGAGGGCACCTAACCCCTGTTCACCTGGGTGCCTCTGGAAGACTTTGCTGCGGTTGAGTTGTAGCATGCACAATCACTGCAGGATTAGTGTTTTGGTTTCTTTTTTTTCCCTCATAGCCAACAGGTTTTTTTATTTCTTTATTGGCACTGACTTCAAGGGGGTAAATGTCCTGTCCTGTCAGTTTAGCTCCAGATACCAGTGTTTAATAGCCTTACAGATCATCAGTCAGTGACTCCATCCTTTTCTCTTCCCAGTTGTCTTACATCACTTCCCTAAGCTTTCATTTCTCACAGAGGTGACTGACGTGCCTGGGAAGCATGAGTGCATTCATTTTCACTGGAATAACTCTGCTTGAAAGAGCATCTCAAGGAGTGAACTCAGTTTGTGAGTTCCTGGGGTGAGTTAAGAAACATTTTGCCCTGGATTCAGGGCACTGGTGGTGGTCCAAAGCCACCGCTGAAGTCGAGGTGACGAGCCATGTTCCTGAAGTCTTGCCTTGGCTGAAATCACAGCTTGGAGCTCCCCTGAGGGTTTTCTCAGCTTCGCATTCAGAGGAGCAGGTTCTGCTCTCAACCAACGACTTGCATCTCTGCCCAGAAGAAAAGAAATACAGTTCTTCAGCAAGAGAAACAGTGTGGTTGGAAGTTCACTGCTGGAAGAAAGAATTTAGCCTCTCCCTCCTCTTCCTCTCTGCCTGTATGCACTGTTAGATGCTGGGACATCTGTCTGCTCTGGTCACTTGGTTGAGGAGTGGCCGCGTAGTTGCACAGCCTCCTGTGCCATCTGCAGGAATTATTAAGTAAAGGAATTAGAAAGCCAAAAGGTGTAAGGCGTTAATGAAGTTCTCATCTTGTGTTTCGGAGCTGGAGCAGTGTGGTGCTCAGGGAGCTGAGTGCGGGTGCTCTGAGAGCCAATTGACATTGAGTTATTCTGGTTTTACAGTGGTGAACTCGAACAAATTGCCCTTTGGGTACCTCCCAAGGGGAATGTTTGTTGACTCAGTTCACAAAGGAGCTAAGGATGTGCGTTTGCTTGGGAAAATTATTATCCAAATCACAGTGTTCTTTTGAAACAGTTGTTTGACTGAATACCAAAAAGAAGCAATCAAACGCTTGCCTCAAAAGACCTTGGCAGAGCAGCAAATGGTGAAATCATAAATTTCTTCTCTCCTACCCCCTTAGAGCAAAGTTATCTATTTTGGGATTTTATTTTTTTTTTAGTCCCTGGAGAGGAAGTGAATCAAGTTTGCAAGTGGCGTTGTCTGGATCCAACAAAATGAAATCTGCTGTGCCTTCTGTATGTAGCTAACCTGGAGCAGTGTCCTGAGGAGCAGTGCTTGTTTTTCACCCACAGACCTCTCTCATAAGGATGGTTGGTAGAAGAAACACCAGTGTAGAGCTGGGAGGTTAGATGTTTAAGTTCCTTCCCATCACTATCTAAATTTTACAAGGGAAGGCTTAAGCTTATTTTAGCTCCAGCTCCACTCCCATCACTGGAATGTCCAATCTATTAGGCTCAAGGTATGTGGGGCAGGAACTGCTCCATCTCTGTTGCTATTCCCATCTTTGAAGTATTTCCTAACCAATCCAGAGAGGTTGTTTCTCTTCACTGAGAACCAATTCTCTCTCTTCCTCTCTCTCTTGCCCTCATTCAGCACTTTTAGCCACCCTTAGATCAAAGCTGCTCTGCTCCAAGGTCATTCTGGCTGCCATGGTTGCCTCCTCCACTTGTGTTCCTAGGTGAAGTTTGGCAAGGATTCATTCAAGATGCTCCTCATTTTTGAGGTGCTGTGTTGACTTGTGGTTGGAAGAAATGCCATGTAGAAGCTTCTCTGATCTCCTGTGAAATATGCTGAGAGTAGCAAAGTCTTGCACAGGTTGCCTAGGTACTGAAGAATATGGTTGTGTGCTGCTTGGCTGGGGTTTTGTTACCCATTAGGGGCTGATTTCATGACCTTGGCTGGATGTTGGGTGTTGAAGGTAACCCTTATCTTCCAGGGTTTTTATAGTGGAGCCATGTTTGCTCAGCTTTCATTTCTTTTACCTTTATTTTAGCTAGTCAGGGAGGTTCAGGTCTGATTGTGTCATACCTGAAGTAGCTGGGGCCAGAACAGCATGTGGGGGGCATCCACTGGCAGGGTCCCTTGTTCTGCCCCAGGTGGCACAGTGAGCTGAACTCACTGGGGTACAGAAAACCGGGCAGCCCTTCGTCAGCCCGTGGGATGCTGCCAAGAATGGGAACAAAAGCCATGACAAGTGCTCGGGGGTAATTAGAGCTCCTGTAATCGTAGCCTGCTGAGTCGCTTTGCCCAGCTTACCTGCTCACGAGCTTTCATCAGTGGGCAGAGAGCCCTTGGGCACTGGAGAGGAGAAGTTTCTCCATCCAGCGTCGAAGAGAGTCAATAGTTTAAGGAGGTTTCTAATGTAAAGCCAGTCACTGGGAAATGCAGCAAAGCTCCTGGCGTCTGTTCAAAAGGAGCAGCGATTCTTGTGTGGTTTTCCCCCTCTCCTGTTGGATCTCCCATTCCAAAAACTCTACTTTTTTTCCCAGCTGGGAGGCTGGTATTCCTGTAGCCCTGTGGGGAAACTGAGGCATGGGATGCACGTTTAGCCTCACTGAAAGTTTGATTAAACTTTGGAGAGAGATAAATATTTGTCAATTATTTGGGGAAGCTCATGCCTGTTCATCAACACATTTGATAAATCGTATTTCTAGCAAGAGATTTCATTCTTCTTGTTTCATTCCCCTCCATGATCTTGTAAAACCAACCTGTGCTGGCTTCACTTTACCCAAACCCTCAAGTTGTAACATCCAAGCCCAGTTTTAATTCAAAGACTTCTTTCCTGACCGCTCTCAGGTTGCTGCACAGGAGGTGCTCCGAGTGCTGAGCTGCCGGATGGCTTCCTAACATCTGACCTGTACCTGAAGCACGTTGGCTTTGAGGGTGACCTCAGTGTTAGCAGGTGGGGTCCTTGCGTGTCCGTGGTCCTCTCTGGGTGGGATCAGAAGCTCTGCTGGACGACCAGAGCTCATTAGGCAAGTCCAGATCTGGTTTCAACACTCACACTTGGTACAGTCCCGTCTGCTGTTAGTGCTGCCCTCTGTACCTGCAGCTCACTCTCTCCTTTCGTCTCCAGCTGGTTTTTAAATATCTCACCAGTAGCTAGGAAAAAAATAATCAATGATCAAGTGAGTAATAACAGCACTCGAGCCACACTAGTGCTCTGAAATCTTTGTGGGCTCCCGTTCTGCAATCCCATTCCCACTGGATGCGATGTGTTATATTGAATTCAATCAGTTAGAGCACCAGGGCTGATCTCCCTGGAAGGAGAGGGAAGATGCAGGAAGCTGAGCAATTAGATTTTCATTTATGTGTTTTTCTTGTTTTAGTCTGTGTTTTGTGGTTTGTTTGTTTTTTTTTTTAACTTTTATTTAATTTCCCTGGATGGGTAGGTTTGAGATACTCAAAAGTAGTAAAGAAAAAAAAAACGAATTCCAATTCAGCAGAGCCAGGAAGATGCAAGCTGTGGGTACTTTGTTCTTCCCGGCCCTTGCCTCTGGACTTGGGGAAGTCGGAGCGGCCTGGCAAGCAGCCTGACTCTCTGCTGTTGATGACACCTCCAGCGGGAGCGGTGTGTGGGTAGGCAGGTAGTTTCATCACAGGGAGGAGGAGGAGGAGGAGGAGGCATGCATCACCTTTTGTTTAAGCAGAAGCATCTTTTTGGAATGCCATCCATTTTATCAGTTAGGGCTTGAACAAAGAGCAGCCAGGAGAGGCTGGATATTGTAATTAGCACAAGTGGAGGCAGGCTGCTGCGTCTGCCTGCCCGCCTGGAGAAGAAGAACCTGTTGAATTTGCTAGGAGCTATTGCTGCGAGGACAAGAGCTGCAGTTACGGGGAGCACAGCAGCCACAAGCGGATGAGGTAGCTGCTTCAGAGCTATGCTGTGGGGAAGAGGCTCAGACACTGGCCACTGGATGCCCGTTTGGGTTAGAGCCTCTGCTTTTGCTTCCTAAGCCCGGGGAGGAAGAACAAGCAGCCAGCTCCCGTTCGGTTGGGACGGCCGAGGATGGCTGCGCTCTCCCAGCACCTGAGGATCCTGCTGTGGAAGAACTGGCTGAGTGTCAAGAGGCAGCCGGTGAGTGTGAAAACAAAGCCGTAGAGGAGGGGGAGCTGGAAACCACAGGAGCTGAGGAGCAAGAAGGGCACGGCAGGAGAGGAAAGCCACGGTGTTAAACTAGAAATACTTGGAAGGAAAGAGACAGAGAGGGAAGGAGGGGAATGGCACGGAAAGAAGATGGGTCATTGTAAGCCAAAGTGGCTGCATCTTGTGTTGGAGGTCATGGTGAGGGCTCAGGAGTCCAGACAGAGTAGCAGGGATGCTGCTGATGGTCCCTGCAGACAAAACCCTACACAAACTCACGGGCAGACCTGAATCAAGGCTGCTCCAGTGTGAGCAGTCCCCAGAGTCTGTGCACAGCCTCTGAGGAGTCCCTGCAGTCTGGGGACAATGAGGGTGTCATTACACAGAGCCACTTGTAATGGATGGATAAAGAAAAAAGTGGCTCTGAGAGGTGCAGGTGGGACAGATTTCCAGCACAGTCCAGT